TGAAAAAGAGAATTGATTTTGCAAGGCAAATAGACCAAGAGGAACATAAAATGCAAAAGGTCGAAATATTTAAATCTGATAGAAAATTTGTGAGCTATTGTTAAGAAGAATGTAAAATGCTGAATGCCAAAAAATCTTATTAAATTGGAGAGATTTATAGCTAAGGAAATTCTAAATAATATTTTAATAAATCTTACAGGTTTGATGAAATGATGTTATGAGTTCATTATTGAAAATAATAGAGAACAAATTTCCTATTAAATTTTATTATTGTAATAAACTCTTTTTCACTTTTCAAATAAAAAGGGATTTCATATTGTTATATATTGTTAACATGAAATTATAACCCTTTTTTAATTCTGATTTTTTTTGCAATATACTATATATTTTATTAAATATAGAATTAAAAAAATTGAAAAATTTTTATATGTAATATATGGTATTAATATAAAAATAATTGAAATAAATTTACAATGAAGGATTTATAATTAATTAATGATTTTATATCTAATTTATTTTTTAAATTAATTTTGAATATTTCTTTAAATGTAATAATATATGAAAAATAAAGAATCATATATGGGAGTGTTTCTAGGAAAATCAGGTTCCGAGAAATTTTTGACTAAAATAAAGAGCTTAATACATTTTAATCTAATAACATCAAAAACTAAAATGCAATAAAAATCTCAATTTTGCTAAAAAATTTCCGGAACCTGAATCAACCCATATATAAGTTTTAAATGGATATCAATAAAAATAAAAACAACTATTCTGTATTAATGAGTATTAGATTTATTTATCAATTTTAATTAGATATTAAAAAATACTAATTATTTAAATTATTTTATTTCAGATTAACATTACAGTTGATAAAAGTGCTCATCATATGAACGCAAGTAGAAAACTTAATTAATTGAAAGTTAATTTACAAGAAAATCATGAGTCATTCATATTTAATATAGGTACTGTTAAATATATTTAGAAATAAATACATTAAAGACGAACAGTTTATTAATCTTGATCTAGTTTTTCTTTTTTTTTTTAAAAAAAACAAATTGAGAAATTAACTATATAACTCATTAAAATTAAATATCTTATACTAGTTTCAATTCTCAGCAACTTTTTTTCTTTGATTTCTTCGATTGTAAATCATCAGTTGCTTTTGTATTTTTGACACCTAATATCACCGAATTATCTATATAAATGAAATATAAATCGTTAACATAATTTCCACAATAAGAAAATACATTATAATTTGTAATTAATTATACTTACGCGAAGATTCATCCAACAATCTATCTGCCAAATCACGTACGATCCCGCTTGTGAGATATTTTGTAGAAATTCCTCGCGGGACTAATGGTTGAGATAATAATGAATTTAATTCGAACTTCAATGATCGAATTCTTTCCTTAGTTTGTCTTTGATTTCCTACATTTGGATCATTATCACTAAAAAAATGAACCGTTAAAAATAAAATATACCTAGACGCATTGTTAATTGAATAAATGTTTGGAACCTACTTATCATCTAAATCGACTTCAAATTCTTGAGCAGCCTTTTTAATCCAATCATTATCATAGTTCATCTATATTATTAAAACAAAATCAATATTTAATTTTAAATAATAATAATTTTCTTTAGATTTAAATATTTCGACCTTTTGCATTTTATGTTCCTCTTGGTCTATTTGCCTTGCAAAATCAATTCTCTTTTTCA